ACGTAACGTACTAACGTACGTACGTTACTTAACTTACTTACTTACTAACGTACGTAACGTATAGTATACTTATACTATATAGTAGTAGTAGTAGAGAGAGAGAGAGAGAGAGAGAGAGAGAGAGTTCATATCCATTGGTTTATCTCTCATAATCAGATTATTTCCATGGAATTTGAGAGAGTTGCAGAATATCAATGAATTGAAATTAGGCCAAAAATAGGAGAAAAAGAAACCCAAATATTGCATAAAATTCATTCTTAAAGCACATACTTATTACCCATGAAAATTGCAGCTGGATTTCTTAATAAACATGTAGGTGGGTATAAGACCAATGGGCTAGAACGCGTTCTTTTAAAATTTTTCCATTGAATTAAAACTCAAGGGTGTAAATGCATGAATATCTCAATACAAAACCATAATACATATATTCCAGCCTACAAAGATGGTTTATACACATTTGAAAATAAAAATTCAACCCTAATAGTTAAACAAGTATTTCTCAAGGTTGAGGCTGACACAAACATGCTCAACTTATCAAATCCTAACCAAAAGAGCAAACAATACACCCAAACCTTTTTAAAAGGTCACCAGTTCTCTCAATGGAGCCATCCATCTCATGTAGTTCCCCTCACCCTCTAAGCAAAAGCAAATCCCCATCTAACAGTGAACCACCAGAAGTGATCCTAGTTCAAAAGGAAACAAATACTAGAATTTTAAGTGTTCTCAAGGCCTTGCACGGACAACCATATATCAGCGAACAATCATGTTCTTCCCCCACCTGTTCAAGAGTAAAAGGGCATTGTATACTCAGGAAGGACCATTCTCCCCGCCGTCCCTCCCCTGCCCCTGCGCTCCCCGGCCCCTCTCCCCTATTTGAAAGAAACAAAGCTAGAAAAACCTTTCTTCATCCATAAAGCATAGTGCTTGAAAGAAATTCAAGAGTGCCCATAAAGGTTGCTTGAGAGGATTCTTCCTCGCCTCTCTTCATGCAGTTGGGCTTCAAGCCATTCAAATTTTGGCCTATACAGGAATCTGGAAAAGGAGTACAAAAGAATGAAGGAAATCCAACTGAAAAACCATATCAAGCATTTCAGCTACATTGCCTTAGCAATCCATTTCACATGTCAACACATTACAACATGAGATCAGATTTTTTAGGATAGGAACGTCAATACAAAAGTTTATATGCCATATACAAAATTACATTTTTTTGGAAGTTAAAAAATGTATATTTCGCAATATAAAAGACTTTCAAAATGAGTACCACAGCAAATGGCCAAATGCCCAGAGGCCTAAACCAAGAGAGAGAGAGAGAGAGAGAGAGAGAGAGAGAGAGAGAGAGTCTTCACCAAGACATCCACAATTTTTTTAAACAAAAATAGAAATAAATAAAAGAAAAGAATATGCAGCTCTCCAAATTTAACAATGCTGAACAACATAAAATATCATACCTACAATTACAAGGCAACAAAAGGAGAAGACAAACCACAAGAAAAGCAAGTACTGCGTAAGTGATATTGTTAATCCTCTCTATTCTGGTGGATGCTTTCATAGGCCAAGTGCATGTAGTACTCACCAACTAGCACATCCCTAAATAATTGCTAAGTTACAGTCATGAATAGAACGCTACAAACACACCATAGAAGAACTTTGATTATGGTTGCAGAAAAGAATGAGCAAAAATATGAACATGACATGATTCTATGATACAATGCTCATGAAGAATATAATTTTGAAATGAAGACAATTTGGAAGCCAAGAAAACAACACAAATGCTATGGTATATCAAAATGTAGCGAATGAAAATACACTTCATAATGAGGTATATACGTTGAACAGCCAAGAAGCTACATGCATCTTGATAGTCTTGATACTTACAAACCGAATCAAGGATAACTTGAGTGTCGAATTTATCTAGGAAAAGCTGTTTTGGAAAAAAACAAAAAAGTGTCAATGGGAATTATTGGCCACATAGAAAATCACTGCATAGATTCTGGCCTCCATCCACAGATAAAGAAAATACACAAACTAATTATTTTAATGCTTGTCTGCTAGAAATGAGGGCCACAAAATATTCAAGGAGTTCCAGTCATTTTGGAAACAGATAAAATGCATCTTTTTACTTCAGAACTATGTTAGAGGGCTTTGCTTTGCTTCTTTTTTTTTTTTCTATGATTATTTCCAGAAGTAAAATCAATATTTCTTTACAAAACCTAAGATATACTTCCATAAATTAATATTATTTAAAAATCCATTCCCATTTCCATGAATAGTGGGCAAATGATAAACTCAATTGTTGATATTATGCAAGTTCCACAAGGAAAGCCAAGAACTTTTTTTCCCCCTTTATTTACTCTTTTGGATTACTTATAGCAACAGCATAACCAGAACTCTTGTACAGTTCAATGGGCTCATAAATAATTCTAACACTGACTTCAGTCTACAAGCACAAATAGAAATCCTACTAACCCAATTGATTCCTAGTTTGGTTTTGTTCATGATACGTCTGTATTTGTCAGTGAAGTGTATTCCCCCACGCTGGATGTGGTCCACCATGAGGGCCTTTTTGCTTATCAATAACCAACCGAGAACCTAGGTTATGGGTCAGGCTGGGGAGAGCCATACCTCACTGGCAATGGTAGGGGAAGTTCACTTGGCCAAAGCTGCTCATAGAAAGATGTTATGCCAAAAAGAACCTTGATTTAGGGGTTATAACAAGGTTATCGGGCCTCGGATTTCATCATTGGACAATTCTGTTCTAAACCTTGGATTAAACAGCGTGCCTAAAGAGAACTTTGTTCACATCAGAGACATGACAACCTTGGTCAGCTGCCACTGGGAAGATGATAGGGAATTGGGCTTCCAAAATCATTGATGTCTCCACATTTGAATATTATCTTTAGTTTCTGCCATCAACCGAATATGAAATGGCGCAAATATGCAAAGATGATACTTTCCAGTCCCCCAGGCCCTTGCAATGGTTGAATCTCTAGCAAAAGCCTAAGCCCTCGTAACCATACCATCATTGAATAACGAGCATCCAAAGTTAGTCATCCTATATTGCAAAGTGCCATCACCATTTTCCCCACGGGGCCCTATTCATCTCCTTTAGGAACCTAATGTGCAATCCTCCATACCTAATGGATTTGGAAACAGTGTCCCACTTTACTACATGAAACTTATGTTTTCTGTGTTCCCCTGACCAAAGGAAGTTCTCATTATGTGCTGAAGTCTCTTAACATTAGACAAAAACCAGACTAAAAGGATATGAGAAAGAAAGGGAGAAACAAAAAGCAGAATAAAAGGATATGTGAGAGTCCATTCATACTGCTCAATTTAGATAAGGAGGGGGGGGGGGGGGGAATAGCTGCTGCGAGGACTCCAATTGATCAAGACTGATAAAGAAACTGATGCAATACACCCAGAGATCCAGGATCTCCAATTCTAACTGAAGCTCATACAGTTGAGGAACTGGTCTAGCAACTCCCAATTGACATAGTCGTAAGCTTTAACTCAATCTAATTTTGAGACCAAGCCAGGAACAATATATTGGTGTCTTGCATGAACACATTCATGTGTGATCAGAGACCCATCGAAGATTTGTTAGTCCTTTGATGAAAGTGCCTTGGTTAGGAGAGAGAACACTATCGAGAACTTTCCTTAGTCTAGTGCCAACACTCTAAAAGAGAATTTTGTAGGAATGGTTGAGCAGGATAATGTGCCTAAAGTCTTTGAACTCCATTGCTCCTTCTATCATAGGCACAAGGGCAATGAAATTGGAATTCATCCCCTCGTGATGATCCCTCTATGAAAGCAGTCTAAGAAAAACGACAGTACATCTTGGGCTAAGGTATCCAAGAATTGCAGGAACAGAGCCACTGGAAACCTGTGTGGCCTGGAGCCTTGCCACGCAGGAGATATTTAATCACCCTTGTGTATTTCTCGAGATGGAAAGAGGCTGCTTCAGCCATTGGGCCCGCTCTTTGGCCAGAGCATATAAACTGATGTTGATCAGTCTCAGCCCAAGCCGGGGTTGAGCTGGTACATAATTTCTAAAAGAAATGAGTGACTACTTGTTGAAGTTCAATATTCAAATCATGAAATCAAGATGACGTTCAAAACTCATCAGCAAAGATCTTGGTCCAATGCCTTATTGCCAACCCCTTACCAAGAGACCTAATATAGAGCCTATACTTTTCTAAGTCCGTCATTACCTTGTCCTGGACTTTGGGATCAGGGTTGAGTTTCATATTGCATTGTTGAAAGCTTCCATGAATTCGGTCTTACTTTGTACCTCGTGATCGATACAAAAGTGAGCAAGGCTAAGGTAGTACCTTACTGACGTAGGGGCTTCTCAAGTTGGTAGTTCCATTTCTCTTCAATAATGTTCAAATATTCCCCATACCTTTTGATGCAGGACAAAAATTATTCTAGTTTTTAATTTCTTGTTTAATTTCAAGAGACATATTTTAATTTTAGTTTTTAGGATATTGTTTTTAGGGTCTTTTAGTTTTCCAAGGATTAAGAGTTTGTAAGTTTTTTGGGATTCTAGGATTTTTTATATTTTCTTTATTTACTATTCACGAGTACCATTCATAATTACTGTTCATAGGTATTGTTCATACATTACAACTCATAAAGGCATTTTAAAATTTTAATATTGTTTAGGGTTAGTTTAGAGTCTTAATTGTTTACTTGGGTTTCATAGGCTTATAAAAGGTTGGATGTCAAATTTAGGGATACTTATGTTATTTGAATGGATATTATTTTAGGAAAAAATAAAGTTATTTTTTTCTTGGCTTGATTTACAACCATGTTCTTTCTCTATTATTGTTTTTTTACATGTTTAAGGTTAAGGAAAACGGTGGATTTAATTTTCCACCTTTCCTTCTTGCATCAAGTGGTATTAGAGCATGACACGAAGATGGTTAGAGATTGCGATGGCTGGTCATGGAGGCTTTAACTACATTGATACCAATCTGATCCAACTGCACATGGAAATCAATAACTTGAGAGAGAGGGTTATAGAGCTATTGCCGTGCGAGCGAGGCCAGTAACAACATGCCCTAAATGAAGAGAAATCTACTAGGGTATATCCAAATCATGAAGCTTCTGGAGAATGGCGGGAATCAGAGTCCAAGTCTGAGTGGGAACAGACTGATGGCGTATTAAATTACAAATGGTTTCCACAACATTGACGGGAACATAGTTTTGAAGACGAACAAAAAGAATCTAATCTTCGATTGGATTTAATATTCTTGGAATCAATAGAAAGTCCTATCCTTAATAGTCCTCATATCTTTTATAGTGATCGCATTTTTTATAAGGAACTAGAAGATCCCATCTTCGATGAAAGTCCTATTTTTGATGATGAACAAGATTTCGTCGTTGAACAGACCTCTAACTAAAAAAAAATGAAGATCTAGAAGATACCAAGAAGTAGAACATTTAGGAGATTTAGGGCAATCGAATCAGAGTAGCACAGTGGAAGCATGGTCCTCTCAGAATCTGCAAATTGGGGCCCTGGATTTAGGGAGTAATAATAAATATCAATAAAGCCTCGAAAGACCAGAAATTGAATTTGAAGTATCTTACACGATTTTCAATGGGAGTTTAAAAATAGCGGAATTTGATAAATTAACATCAATTCCTCTATATATGTATCAAGATTGGTTTCTTGAGGAATTCTTTTTACCATGAACAATGATACAAAAATCGTCCGCCCGACTGCCAAGGCGGCTTTTTGGAGAAAACGGGTAGGCATTCTTAAGGTGAACGCTATTAGGCGCAAGAACTAGGTGCCTAAGGTGCCCGCCTAGGCGATGTAAAAGGTGGGCGCACCTAGAAGCCGCCTTGAAAATATCATAATTTATTCGTAACTATTAATTCGTTATTTACATGTAACAATAATGACATCACAAAACATATATGCATTCAAAAGAATCAAAATAAGTAACAACAAAGCATTAACATGGTTAAACCTCAAGTTTTTTCCTAAATGTGACTGTATAAATAGATTGTGACAGTCTTCACTTTTTTCATGGTTATCTTCATTGATTTCCTCTTACCAATCGCTTCAAATATGAGTTCTATGCAGTTTGTTACGCAAGGTGAGTCGAAAATATGAGGCCTCCTCTCCATCAATAACCTAGCGGCTGCCATATGGGCAGAGTACATATCGGTCACTACATGGACCACTTTATTCTCCTCTATGCACTTGTCTACCAAATCATAAATAAAGGCCGTATTATGGGACTTATTAGAAGCATCAATAGACCTCAAGAACATGGTCCTTAATGGACAATTCACAAACAAATTCATAATGCTTCTATTTCTCTTGTAACTCCAACCATCAGTCATAACAATGTAACGATATATTGCCCATGCGTCCTTATGGGTCTTCAAGAAGTCATTAGGATTGAGGTTCTTGAAGTTCGCTTATCCATTGTATTGCATTGGGAGTAAATTCCATTGAATCATATGTCTAACTTTTCCCAAATTCAAAAACCCAAGTGTTATATGTAAACAAGAATAATGTCTTTGAAATTCTCTTTGACATTTTATCACCATTGGCAGGTCGTTACAGTAAAATGATATTTTTATGGTGTTATGCAACCCCTTCAAACTTCACTCAAAGAGAGATTGGTATGCACGATTTTTATATTTACGCGATAATGCACCATTGACAGGTCATATGACGCACATCCAATGTTCGAAAATTCGGCTGCCCGAACGCCTAGTCAAAAAAAATTTCAAACACGTAGACGTAGCCTGGGTGGGTGCATAAGGCGTTTTACTTCTGAGCGCTCGCGTAGGCGCTATTGTCTAGGCAGCCACCTAAGCGCCGCCCCATGACAACTTGTGGACAGCAGGAAAGAGGTATGGGCCTTTTTTGGAGATTATTGAAGACAAATGGAACTCCCAGCTTGAGAGGCTCCTACACTTACCCTACTCACTTTTACACCGATGTTGAAGTACATAGCATGGCTGAGTTCATGGAAGCCTTTAACCAGTGCAATGTGAAGCTCAACCCTGACCCTAAAGTGCAGGATAAGGCTCTCCTGGTAAGTTTAGAACTTCTTCAATTTGAGTATTTAATTTCAATTAACCAGATGGCTAGATTCCTAATTTACTAAATTACTATATTCACAATTTTACATTTACATGAAATAGGCGCATGTTGGAAGCACCCCTCGTTTGAGGTAGATGGCCATGAAAATACTAAATATGACTTGCAGCTCTTTTGGATGTGAGCGCAACTTTAGCACGTTTGAATGGTAATATTACTTATTAAGTTAATGTCATACATACTTAATAATAGTCTAGTAGACTAGTTAGTACTTAGCAAGTTAGTAACTAAGTGAGTTTTTTTTAATTAGGTGCATACAAAGAAGAGGAACAAACTAGAGCAAAAACAACTGAATAACCTAGTCTTTGTTCAGTATAATCAAAAGTTGCAAAAGCGCCATCATCAGCTGGAGCACAATCAAAGGGATGCTGTTGAAGCTTTTGATATTGATGACACATGCGAGTGGATGGTCCATGCCAGTGAAGATGAGGTTTTCCTTGAAGAGGGCTTGACCTCGGGCCAGGTTCGTGAGGCTGCTGGGACAACAATGCCCCCTACGCATACCACACGTGCTCAAACTCAGAGTCAGAGGCAAACGAAGGGGAAGGGGAAGGAGAAGGCAGTGAGGAAGAAGGGGAAGAGGGCATTGACATTAAGAGTGGATGATGAAGAGGAAGAAGTAGATTTAAAGGAGACAAGGGATGACACTCAATATGTTGAGGAGGGCGATGACTCTGATGATGATGGCATAGCAACAACATCATCATCAGATGCTCCTCATGATGAAATTGAACACCCTGAGTGATGACGCCGCTGATGCCATAGAGTTGTTTAGTTGATGAATGATGACTTGATGTATTTGTTTTTTGATTTTGCCTTGTTGACTTGTGTATGACTTTAGCGTTGATTCGTTTCTAGTATGAACTTCTAGTTTCCTAGTTCCTACAATGACATTTGGGATTTCAAGCATTTTAATATTTTATACAATCTCCTTGAGACTTGTATGATTGTCTCATCCGTAAATATGTAAAGTGATTGTCCTCATTGTAGTATTGTATTGATGTATTATCATGTTTTCGTTTATTTCATGATCATGAGGAGTTTGGAGTTCTAAAATTGCCCAAAAAACTCCATAAGGCCATAAACCATGCGCTAAAAACTCCCCAAGGCTATAAACTATGCCCTAAGAACTCCCCTATTTTATATGATTGGAGTGGGGAGTGTCTTGATTTTGGTGAGGGCACCCTGTCCCTGGGCGCTCGCCTAGGCGGGCGCCTGACTGCCTAGACAGTCAGGCACCCAAACCGCTTAGGCACCCGAATCCGTTTTTTTGAACATTGCGCACATTGGTAAACCAAAACAATAGTATTAATTCGTAATTATTAATTTATTGGTAATAAAAAAATAGTATTAATGAGTAATTGTTATCATATAGTATATACAATAAAATGGGGCGAGGTGTGGGGATCCAACCTTTTTTAAAAAACACAACACAGACCACCTTTGGGTCTAGGCCCCCGCTTAGGTGGCCGCCTTAGCACCTAGGCGGCCCAGAGCCCAAAACCGCCTATTAATAATTTCCTAAAAGCTACCCACAGAGCAAAAAAACACTAGACATTCACCCTCACTATTGCATGCCATTAATCAACAACATACACCTTTGAGATTATTCTAAAATTGCAGTTTAAAAATTTATGTGAATTTATTTATTTATTTATTTTTTTGGAGAGTTCAGTATTAGGAATCGAACCTGAGATGTAGCGTTGCTAAAAAGCTAATAACCACTCAAGCCCACTCCAGACGAAACTAACCAACAAAAGATAGTCCAAGGCCATTTGTACTCATTCCCTATCCCTACCAACAATATAGGAGGAATAAACAAAGTTGAGATTGAACCTACATACCTGTTGCCAACAACGATGTTAGTGGAGACAACGTCATCCTCAATGTAGCCCAAGTTCACTTCAGCTTACCCTCAGACTCCTCTCTACAAAAACAACCAACCAAAAACATTCCCATACTATCAGTGCTCATTCGCTGTTCTCACCAACCCATATAGGAGGAAAAAACTAAGTTGAGATTGAATCTACATACATGCTGTTTACAACAAAGTTGATAGAGACCACATCACTCTCAATGCCAAGATCCCCTTCAGTTTACCCTCAGACTCCTCCCTACACATACAAAACCACCACCATCAATAAGTAATTGTTCTTGTATATGGATCCAAAAAGCAAGAGATCCAAGAAATGAGAAAACTTAAGAAATTATGTTATCCCAAACAAGTTATTTCAGTCTCCCTAACTTATTTCTCCAATACAAAAGTTAAGGGAAAATATGTAACTTTAAGTCAGAATTGCCATGATACTCCAGACCAAGATAAGTTAAAAAAGAAGCACGTTTATCATGACATTGGTGGTACATTTAACATTTACAGGAATCATCATACAAAGGATGTCATATCTACTCGAAAGTGTAACAATTAAACAAACCTAAAATATCCATCCAACAAGAGCGCATTGCATATGTCCCATGTGCAACCAAAAAAAGAAACATACGGGAAATAATTCTCGTTTTAAAACACAAGACGTATTTTCATGGTCAATAAAGCTCACGATAATTGACCCTTTACAAATGAATAGGTGTAGTCACTTCAATAAAAAAATAAAAACCATTTTAGATATAGAGGACCACATAGGACCCCCACCATATTTCGATAATTATAGTGTGAGTAAACAAGAAAAGAGGTCCTTTCAAGTTTTTTATTCTTGAGGTATTGCGTAAATTTTTTTCAAATTCCAGCAATTCCTTTAAATTTGTGGAATTTCGTACTATGCCTACAAGAATTACAACTAAATAGAGGAAGAACAAGCATGCATATATTAGTGCATTCACATGTACATAATAAGGTTAAGTGCAACTTAATCTCTCATCATCCATGCTATCTTTCTAGATAACTATTAAAGAGAGTAAATTATGGGATTTTGAAAGCAATACAGTTATATAAAACAGGGTCCATAGCATCTAAATGAAGTTTTTCCACTCTAAATAAGGTTCAACAAAGCCTTAAAAACAGTAGGCCCACCTCAATGAGATGCCATGTACAATATATCTCATCTCTATTAAAAATTGTATTCAAATCAATGATTTGTACATATATACCTGATATTAGTGCACAAATATTAATACTGATAGAAAGTATTGGTGCATATACACAATTACAGCTCAATATATATATCACAATTCAACTACCAAGGAGATCGAGTTATCAACCATTTGGAAAGAAGCATACACAAGAAATGTCGTGTTCAAGGAAGTCCTACTAGAGAAGTTAGGGTTCAAGGGTAGGGTTTAGGGCTTAGGGTTTAGGATTTAAGGTATTGGGGTTTAGGGTTTAGGGATCAATGTGGTCCCCACTAGAGGTAGAGAAGAAACTTTGGCAGAATTATGTCCTTTACTACTTCAACATGAAGCTATGTTCTCTTATGAAAGGATGGGAAAACAATCAAGTATAAATTCTTATGATGCTTTTCTTACCAACAAAATTATTCATCTCCTGGGAATTGTTTTTGTAGAGGTAGAGGCAGAGGAAAAAAATCAACGAGGACTTGTTGGATGTGGTAGAGGTGGATTTTATGGAAATACTACTAGGTGCAACATCCTACACCCACTCAACAATAATAGCATTAGGAGTTCCAGTCAGGGGAATAGTGGTATAGTGTGTCAGATCTGTGGAAGGTATAATAATAGAAATCATGGATACCCAAAACCACAATATGCGAGCAACGAGCATGTTGCTCTAAATATTTTTGTTGCTAAGGTTGTGAATAATGAAGGTGGTGTTCATAATGTTCCAGGACAACTAGGAACAATGAATACATCTATGGAGAATCTTGCCATTACATCTCCATCCGAAGCTGCATTGATAGTGGAACAGCCAACCATTTGACAAGAAATCCAAGTATGTTCTCTTCCCTTGTCCCTTACTCAGGTAGTGAGTCTATTATAACTGGAGATACTCTCACCATATCACATTTGTTGGAAATGTTTACCATTCAGTTTTTTAAAGGTCCTATATGTTTCAAAGATGTTTTCCTTATCCATAATTTCAAAGGTAATCTCATTTCTATGTTTCGACCAGCTAGAGAAAATCATATCTTCTTTGTATTACTCCTGATTGTGTTTTACTGAACGACCAACTTTCGGGGATCACATTCCCTAGCGGTTCACGATGTGGGGGGTTCTACATAATTGATGATGAGTCAAAGACATTCCAAACTCAGGTCGTGTCTTGACGTGCCAATAAAGATGCCAATGAGTGGCATCATACAATAGGTCGTTGTAGAATGGAGTCTCTAAATAAGTCAGGTAAACAAGGGATCATATCCTCCAATATTGATCTTGGTGAGTTTATTTCTCATGGTTGTCAACTGATATTGTTTTTAATAATAAAAGAACTTCGCCATTTGAGTCGATACAATTTGATATGTGGGGTCCAACGCCAACTGCATCTCCTTTCAAATCCATCTATTATGTGATATTTTTTCAGAGTGTGGTTTGTCTAAGGCTGAGGCCCTAAATAATCAAAGTGAGGCGCACCTTTGAATAGTGTCGAAAGATGTTATTTCAGTACTAAAGTTATTTGTAATGGTCTTAAGATTTATTTTCATCTCTAATTATAAAATTTAAAGCTTCAAAAATAGTATAGATCGAGCAAATCCATGAACACTTGAAAATCTTGAAAATTGACAGTTTAGAAAGTGCAAATAAGATACACTATTTCCAAAATATGAAATCCATTTTTTTGTAAGTCCATACATCTTGAGGTTGAGATGGTCGATTTGAGGATTTTTTGGTAGCGTAACATCTTTTGGTCTGAGAATCTCTACAATAGATCCAAAAAAGATGTGAGAGCTAAGAGGGGTCCAAATTCCCCTGGGGAAAGTTGAGACTAGCTCCCAACCTTGCTGGTGCATCTGCTGCAGTGTCAACATTCCTATTGAGCATGTCCCCAAGAGACTTGGATACTGCTACATATGTGGGCAATTTTGACAAAAATTTTATCTAGTCTCTAAGGGTAGGGGGAATTGCCAGATGCCCAAGTGATTGTGTTGCTAGAATACCCTCTACCAACAATTGTGTGCTCCAAAGATGATTAAATCCTCTGGATCCTTCGAGTAGGGCCTTGACCTCAGCGACTGTGGAGTCCTCGACTCCTATAAGCAGGGCATAAGAAAGGAGGATCAGGCCTTCAAAATTCCTAAACAGGCCTCTAATGCCTGAGGGGCCCTAATTGCTTAGAGAGCAGCCATCTGATGATCCTGGGTTCCCACGGCCTCCATAAAGAAGCTCAAGGAATCCTGTGGGTACTTAGGTGCAGCAATGCTTGCCAATTTTGGTGAAGATCCGAAAAGGAGAAGATGAAGAAGCTTGGGTGATTTAGGGCCCAGAATGTGACAGGTGACCTTCGTTTTTCAATAAGAGCTGAGGCAGGGGTTCTCTCCCCTCTAAAGATCCCATTATTCTTCTCGATCCAAATGGTCCAAAGAGTGACTGAGATGGAAGCGCTCCATAGAAGATTTCCTGAATTTTTCCAAGGAGTTCTAAGGCATGAGGAGAAGAGGTGAGGGATCGGTTGGGGAATGACCCACAGCCAGTTGAATAGAAGAAGAAGGCCTATCCAAAGGGCCAAGACGACCTTGCAATGTAGAAATAGATGTTGATTGGTTTCTTCAGCTTTGAGGCACATGATGCATCCGTTAGGCAAAGAGATACCCCTTCGCTGTAGTTGATTAAGTGTCAAAGCCCTTTCATGGAGTGTTATCTGAGTAAACAGCTGGATTTTGGGGGCAAAAAGGAGCACCAAGCTTTGGTGGCTATAGAGGGAAAGACAGAGAGGGGAGAAGGCGAGGAGTATAAGCTTCAGTAAAATGAAGCAACTGTGATGGCACCTGATGGAGAGGGGGATCAGAAAATCTTGTCAGGGCCTGTGGGAGAAAAAAATATCGAATCGAGCAAGGCCGAGAGATTAAAAAATTGGTGAAGCTTGTGGTCACCTAAGAGTCTCCTGAAATTTGGGTTCTAGGATCTCGCATTAGGTGGACCAGAAATGCTTTCTGCCACCGAAGAGGAAGGGTCATGTGCTAGACAAAAGAAACTTCCACATGAGTTTTTCCAGTCTAGGGACTACGGCCGCTGGCATAAAGAATGAAGAAAAGGGAAATGCTGGAAATTGTGGCCTTGATAAGGGTTGTGCAGGCTGGTGAAAAAAATCTCCCTTTCCATGAAGCCAGGCGCCTCTCAACTTTGTCTATAACCGGGTTCCATAACTAGATTCGAGGAAGGCCAATGCAAAATGGAAGGCCAAGATAGGATGAGGGCATTGGCTCTACAGCACATCCCTAGGTACAAGTCCTTCATTTATACAATTTAAGTCAGCTCCTGAGTCGATCAGAGCTGAGGTTTCAAAACTATAACTCTTTGCAACTATAATTTTGACTTGAACAAACTATTTTTGTACAACTATTTTGTTTATTAAATTGACAGAAGGAATTGGTACTGTGTGTACTTCTGAGGATTCAGGAGTATCCAATACTTGATTTGGATCAGAATTTATTAATTCATTGAATTCTATTTCATCTGTATCAGACTCTTGTTGAGACATTTGTTGTAATTCTAGTGATTGAATTCTACTTTTTAACTGTACTATTTCTGTTTTTATTTCTTTAATCTCTTTTTTGAGATCAGAGATTGTAGGTTCCTTTTGTTGAGAAGTGTGTTGATCACTTACTCTTTTTATTATAGCAGAAAAATTATATTCATCTGGATTTTTATTGATAGGTATTGGTTTTGATTTATTTTTGGTAATATTAATAAATTGAGTAATGCCAGCTCT